TTAGTATCAAGACTTGAAAATATCCCCCTTCTGCAAAACTATTCAAATACATTCAGCATGGGGAAAATAGCCCCATCTCACCAGTGTCATATATATTCCTATTTTGTTCCAGAAGTCAGGATACATCTGCACATTTAAAAGATGACGGTAGAACAACTGCATCCCGTCCCTGGAAATGGAGGGTTCATGTTTGGCACAAGCTTCAGGACTTCTAAGGGTATTTAAAAACAAAGCCCAGATAGCATGAAATGTTGCAAAGATGCAAAGAAAGGGCTTTAGTGCTAAATCTAGGGATCGGATTCAGTGTCAGCAAGTAAGAAGAAAGTTGCAGGAGGAACATGTTTTTCACTTGTGCCAAGATAATATTTTTTGATTCCTGTGCAGCCGGTGAGTTAGTGCTCTGCTGAAAGTCTTTGTTGGGGGAGAAATGTGTGAAAGCTGCTGGGAAACGGCTCGTTTCTATTTGATGCTCATAATTCATGCAGCAAGAGGATTTTGGTGGAGGAGCAAATAAGAATGATAGCTGAAGTGACTCAGGGATTACTGGATGACATCGTATTTATGTCAGTAGTGCAGACTGGTCCGAGTCAGTGATGACCTCGTGCTGCTGAAGGGCCATTAAGGGACCAGAGGAGTATGCTAGGTTCCAAACTGGTCAAGCTACAGACCCTGCTGTAGGAAAACCAGGCATGGGTGCCCTTCAGTGTAAGGACTATGGGTACCAAGAGAACTGTGATAAATCATTTGCATGAGCTATAATTCAAAAAGTTTTCACTGATTGGATTTTTTGTTTGTTTTTCTTGCGGACAGGGAAGGGGCTGAGCTAATTCTCTAGGCTTTGTGTTTTACAGTAGATCTTGTGTGAAACATAAATCTGGCGTGGTCTGTTTAAAAATACTGTGGCAGGTTTTTAGACTGCCTCTTGCTCAGGACAGAACTGCGTAGGTATAAAGTTCAGACCATGGTGCCCTTGAACATCGAACCTGTGGCTATGTCTAACGTCTGCAGAGAGCCTGTATTTATTCTCCTTTTGCTGCTTAGATTCATTTACGTTCAGTAAAATATCATGTTGCAGTGATACTTTACCTGACTGTAACAAATGCAAGTGGGTGGTTTTTTTCCCCCTCTATTTTTAAAACACTGATTTGAAAGGACGGCAACTCAGAAGCAGTTTGCTGAGGTGAACGTTGTTCAGCAGAGTAGTTATCTGCAAGTCTGTCTGAAATGCTGGCAAAGGGATCTCATGAATAGCTTGCAAATCTTCTCCTTGAGGAAGAAATTGTATATCCAATGATCTGTTCCTGATTTGTCCATCATTACTGCGTATGCATGGAAAGGCTGTAGGTTATGTCCTTCTGAAGGATGTAATTATATATGTCCTTCTGAATTATATAGTAGAAATCATCAGCATATTAAAACAAGATGTTGCTGTCAGTGGTGTCTGCAGCCTGAAGAGCAATGAACAGCACGAATGGCCGTGGGTGAGAGGCTTTCAGGTGAACACTTGCAACTCTGACGTTTGTCTTCAGTTGGACATTTTTACAGAGTTAAGATCATTCTCAAAATCTTCAGTAAAAATATAACTGTTAATCAAATGGTTAAAAATTAGCTTTCTGCACATACAACCTTGCTTGAACAGTTTCACTGTGCTGCCGCCTCTCCCTATTGATAGCTGTGTTTGACCAACCTTAGAACAAGTATTTTATATCAGTCTTTACTTTTGAAATGAGATTCCTTCCTTTAAAACTTTATCTTAGCTATTTGATCACTGTGGACAAAAATAGCTTTTACAAAGACACTTAGACTTTTTACAACAGAAGAATTGCTGAGGAGAAGTGAGGAGAGGAATGGGACTGAGCCCGTGGCTAAAACCAGCTCTAATTGCAGCTGTTCAGTGCTGAGACTTTACCCTGAGTAACCATCTGTCATGAGATGCTCTGTCCTTGTCCTTCTTTTCTTATTTTGCTTCTGGCGTTTCTTTAAGAGAATAATGTCAGTATCTCAGGAGTCTACTACTGCAGAGACAGATACACTAGAGTTTTAAAACTTCATTTCTGGGAGAAAGTCTGTCTGTGGCACTGGCTTGCAGTGAAATGCCATGCAGCAAAGTGAAATGGAGGCCATCATGTTTTAAGTAGTTTGGGGGGTTTTTTTGGTTGGGTTTTGGTTTTTTTTTTTTTCATTTTTTCTTTTAAAGATGCATGTGCAAGTGGAAGGACAAGCTGAGTAATAGCCCAGCTCAGGTCCCAGGGCTCATGTTGTCGTGGGCCTGAAGCACAGCAGGAGCAGAGGGCTAGGTGTCCTCTGCGACTGCGTGGGCGCTTGGCTCTCATTAATAATTGAATGCCTGTCAGTCTCTCGTCAGCTCATCTGTGGTGAAGTCACATTCTGGACCTTTTACTAGTGTTGCCCTTTGGCTTCTCTGCCTCTTTTAGGAGCAGCATGGCATTCACAGCCACGCTGATGTTATTCCAGATGAAAACTCTGTAATTAGTTAATCCTCATCAACACACAGCATTGCACACAGGATGTGTTTCTGTGCTCTTAGAATTTTTTTGCACTGCATCGACTTGCCTCACTTCCTTCTCCCACCATCCCCATTCTGTTTAACCCATGATCAGTCTCCTTAAGTAGCTACTTTGTCCTGCATTATGCATCTGTGCAGGTAACCCACTTCCCAATTTGTTCATTTTAATATATATCTGTAGGCTTTTGCCCGCTCCAGACTTATCTGTACTCGAAGCATCTTCCATAGTATTAGCCATCTGTCCTGACAAACACACAGTCCCAGGAATTGTCAAAGCCATTGTGTCCCTTGGCAAGCAGTTGCTTACAGTTAACAGAAAGACTTTGTGTGTCAGTATCCATGGAGGATATACCATGATGTTAGATCATTCAGGAACATTAATAGGGCAGGTTTTTCATCAGACTGCCACGTTCTCAGGGACTGGAGAGACTATCGCTATAAATCCACTCTGCCCTCTGGTCTGCCAACTCTGGCAGTTTGTTTCTGACTGTAAGCAGCACCCAGCACTTTGGGAGGATGGTGGAGAAGGCTCAAAGGGCATCCATGGAAGATTGCAGCCCTAGGACAATTTCTGACGTCTAATAGTTGGCTTAAGCTGTGAGCGAGGTATTTTAGATCTGTTCCAAAACTCTCTTTTACTAGTCTAGCACTGGGTGCTCTGGGAGAGCTGACAGCCATTTGCTCTGATATAGCTGCTTAGTATATATGTTCAGTACTTGAATTAATGTTTTCTTCTTTTTTGCATTTTTATTTGACTGTTCAATTCCCTGGACTGTGAGGAAGGGGGATGTTGAATAATTACCTGCTCCATAATAAATCAGTGTGAAAAGGCAACTGGTGCCATGCATCAACTTAAACTGCTGTCTGGTAAAGTTGCATTAATATGTATAAATAATGTATATCTTTGCGGAGCAAGTGCTTTGTCTTTCTAATGAACAGTTGCCTGATTGGAGAGGCCGAAAGACTGTATACCCTTGCAAGAAAGGTTTTGTTTCATGTGTGCCTAGATTATTAAAGTGGATTCGTGATCCTGTAACTGCAACTAGGAAGTATCTTATTTAGCAGAACATGCTAAAGAATTTCAAAAGACCTTCTGAGAAATCAGCTAGCGGATGACTTTGTGGTTTGGGGACGGCTATCTCTTCCACCTCAGGAAGAAGGATCAGGATTGACATATTTTGGTATTCATATACATTTTAAGGACTGATGCCAAGTACCATTAAACAGCCAGTAATTCAGTTGTTGCCTTGTAATAGGCATCAAGCATTTCACTGTGTGTTTCGGCTCAGAAATGGCTTGGAGGATAACAATGGTAGCTGACTAATTAACATCTAAACCAGGACAGCAGCATCGCTTGCATTTAACTGAAGTAAAGATAGGTCACTCAATTATGACATTTGTTGAAAGTCTAGAAATTGACACTTCTTTGTTCAGAAAAAAACCCAAATTATTTTATGTGTTCATAGTACCCACAGCAGGTGGTCACTGAAAGCAGATGGTGCAAACGGTCATTCCCATCCTGCTGCAGTAGCTGTAAAACGGTGCCTCCCCTGTGTTTCTGGGGGTCACTTGGTCTTGGATGGGAAAAGGACTGATGCTTAGGTGAACATTTGAAGCACTTCCAGTGTCCGTATTTTTTAACATTATCATAAAATCCTGTCTGTTCCACAGGTTATAATATTACGTAAAGGGTGTAGCTCTGGACAATCTAGACTGTCCCAGGCCACACTTGGCATCTCTAATCACAGTATTCTATGCCAGTTCTCAGCAAATTGGCACATGCAAGAGAGCCAATTAAACAAAGGGCAGGCAGATAGGGAATTCAGTGAAGGGAAGCTTGTCCAGACTAGCCTGACATCTTCATGTATACAGTAAAATACAAATTGTACTTGCATATTACATCAGTATGAGGCTGACCCAAAGTGACCTATTGTGTGTGTTCTGGGATTTCTAGCTTGGAGGAGTCTGAATTCCTCACTGTGATTGAGGTTCAGCCTGACTGTACATAAATGCGGATTGTTGTTTTTTCAAATGCAACTTTTGACAATGATTTTTTTTTTCTTCCTTTTCTGTCTCCTTTTGTCACTTAGCAGAAGGAAGTTTAGTTGCAAGGAAAGGGGAGGGGGAGAGAACTTCGTTCCTGTTCCATCTCAATACAATATTTCTGTTCTAAGCCTGCAAAATGAAGCGTTAGAAAAACAACTCAATGGGGGAAACATTTCACTGGTTGTTTTATACACTCAGGCTGTCACTGAACAGAGCATGTAATGTATCTGTAAAATGAGCAGAAGCAGCCCAGTATCCTGAGGCTCATGCCAGTCTCGCTGAGAGCAGCAGTCTAGAGCAGAACTATTCCACCTTCTCCTACTGGGAGATGCGTTGTGACCATCAGATGGGTAGCAAAATCCCTGTAGATGTGTGGATGGTGGCTGTACTGATGTCGATATCTGTTCTTCTTCTGTCTCCCTGCTAGCTGAAGACTTGGAGTGTTGATGAACTTCAGAGGAGGCTCTTAGCCCTGGACCCCATGATGGAGCAGGAGATTGAAGAAATCCGCCAGAAGTACCAGTCAAAGCGACAGCCGATCCTTGATGCCATTGAAGCCAAGAAGCGGCGGCAGCAGAACTTCTGAGCCGCTGGGAGAATAATCTTCCATCCTCAAACAATCAGCTCCTTGCTTTTACGACTACTAAACAGATCGATTTCTATTGAAATACGCTAGCAAAATAGAGGGCAATACTTCTGCTCATTTATTTTTCCATAGCACCTTTGTGAACTCAGGAATGCTGTTAAGTGGAAAATCCTGATGGTATGTTTTAATTTTAGACATATATTTAAAACATTATTCCAAAGGAGTTTTGTTACTGTTTTTAGGGGGACTGTTTTTGAATCAGAAGAACAGATAGAAATAGGCTAATGAAAGTTGGCTCACTCTCTTTTCAACTGAACTTTCAGTAGTCCGTTTTGTTTTAAGTTAATATGAATTGTGGTATTTAATGGCTGCATCCTTTGTGGGTTTTGTTTTTGTTTTTCTTTGTGAATGCACAGACTCAATTTCAAGCTGTTAACTGTATCTTTCTACTGTTAAGGTACTGCTAAGTTTTAGGTCGCTGAAGAGAGCAGGTGAGAACATGTACAAACTGTTCTAGCCTTTTGAAAGAAACTTAAATCTCATTTTTTAAAAGCCTGTAATAAGCCCCATGCCTTACACTGTGTGCTTTAAGCAAGTGTGGTTTCTTCAAGACCTCAGTTTTGTCCTCTTTTTGTGTACTTTATGAATTAATACGAGTAGATAAAGCATGTTGTGCCTCCATCAGAAATTACATTCTGTGATTTAAAATCCACACTGACTTAAAACCAAAAGCCAGTCGGTGATCTGATTCCCCTTCGTCTGTCTGTTTGGAAATGTCCTTCAGGGAGACCCCGCTGATGGTGCAGTGCTCGGAAGATGAAACTGTATTCGAATGGGTGGAAGTTGTGTGAACCTCTCTCAGGAATTAGGTACTTCTTCTGTGTCTGAGAGGACTTAAAAATCTCCACAGTTTGTGAAATATTTTATAGGCTTCATTTCAGATTTACATCTTTAGATGCTTGAATAAAAACTTAAGTTCAGAATCCTTCACATTTCTGCAAGGTTTAGCACATTAGAAAGGTTGAACTGAAATTAAAGACTTTGTTGAATTAACGAAGATGTGCATTTGTGGTGGTGGAGCAAAGGTGGAGTTGATCTGGATGAGAAGGCAATTACTGATGTCCTACTGGAAGAGATTCAGTCTCTTCTCTTCCAGTTCCTCTGGATGCTCTTGTGTTCTTTCTTTACATTTCCCTGGCATTCCTGCCTGGTATAGCTCAATCAACAACAATGTGCCAGCATGTACAATCGCTGTGAGGATGGTGCAATTAACTCACGCCAGTAGAGTGGAGAGTAAAACAGAAGAAGCAAAGAGCTTCATTGCAGGGCAGAGACCAAGTGATACCTCTGCCCCATGGGCTGTAATAGCAGACGCATGTAGTTTTAGATTTATCTAGCATATGATGAAATATTTGGACAGAGCAAGTATTTCTACTGATGTATTTTTATTTTGCTCTGATAGAGGGAAGAGTTTCCATGTCATTCTCTGAAATAGGCCTTGGTACATCGCCTAGATAATTAAACTAAATAGCAGTGTCTCCTGAATCAAATGCTGCTAGAGAGGTGAAGTGTTCATTTCACACCTCTGTAGGCTCTTTTTTTCTCCTTGGAGCAGACTCTTGGCTACTGTTAACAGGTATACTCCATTGCTGTGAAAGGAACCAAGCCATTTTTACTCCCTCTGCAGATCTGGTTGCATCAGTTTGTCTCAGTTTGATACGCAGTGCAAACACAGCTGTTCCAGAGATCAGCAAACCAGCTGTCCCTGAGTGAAAAGGGAGGCAGTAAGCAGTGTATCTAGGGTGCTGCTGTCAGAGTACCTCCTGGGATAACCAACAATCTGATAGCCTCAAGTACTGGGAAAGTTTTGAATTGGGAAACCAAGTAATTAAAAGGTTCATTGTTGTTAACGGACTAAAATCCCTTAGTGTGGACTCTCTAATGAGGTCTAGTGCAGTGCTGTGTGAACACCAGGGCTCATACAGTGCTCATCTGGAATGTGTGCAATACATTTTGCCCTAAACATGTGTTTATTATAAGCAATATTTGTTAGCATCCTTTGCATCAAAGAAGCTCCCACAACTTAGGAGAGAGTTCTCTGGTGAAGTGTTGGATCTTGTATTAGACACTTGGATGGGTCTGGCCCAACACCTCTGGTGTGATTGACATGCAGATATGTGATGTGGTAAATTGTGCACTGCTTGCATGTGGCGTGGATCAAGCAGATTCTGCTGGGAGTAGTTTTACCTCTGCACTGTGTAGGTAACTTTCTAGTGACTGGAGGGCATTAGAAAACCCAAGTTTTAGGTGAAACACCCCAGGGTGGTGTCTATTGATGGAATATGCAACCTGTGACTGCTGTAACTGAATGTAAGCACTCTTGAAATACTCTGCTTTGCTAATGTGATTGTCTTAAAATACAGCAAATGAACCAAAATAAGTAAAACTGGTCCAATGGCTTAAGTGTCTTTGAACCTTTCTTAAATGCGTGCAGTGGCTGAGACTTGATGTTTCTTGCACTTGGAGCTCTAATGCAGAATAATTATTTTCTCCTTCACTGATTTTCAATCTATTAGAGAAAATAATTCCCTTTCTGGTCCCTTTGTAGAGTGTCTGGGAGCATAGTACCTGCTCACTTCTCAGAGAATCCTCCAAGCTAAGAGCAAGGCTTGTACCATAAGAGAAAGCTGTTCCGACGAAGTTTTTAAGCAAAAAGCTAGCTTAATTGTGAAGCTGCATTCATGGGCTCCTTGGGTCCATCTGCATTGCTGAAAGTGTTCTGGACAAACCATTATCTTTTGCTTCTAAAACCTAGAGATACTGAAGATGTCAGTCACGTGAGACTTAAAAATGTGAAGTTTGTAGCTTTAACTTTTTTGTAACAAAGAAATTAGCAACACTGGCATAAAGTGCTGACTTGAAAAGCTATTTTGTAAGATCTGGCTGTTTGTATATAATAGTGTTGGGTCATTAGTTTGTATATGTATGAAATAGTAACTTTTATTGCATTGCTCTGAGTTTGATACAGGAGATTTTATTTGATCTTTCTCAAATATCTTGCCTTATTTGTTCAAAGGGGCAAATAAACTATCCTTACCTGAAAGCATCAGTGTCGTGACTCATATTTATGCGTTAAAATACTCTGGTTTATTCTTGCTTATCAGGACAGGTTTTAAGATGATGTGCCTCTAGTCAACCAATGTTATGCAAAATTCTGGAGGAGCATACAAGCTTTAATAAACACAAGCAGAAAACATGTCAGATACACATTTTTGAACAGGCGATTCTTTAGCCTTAAAACATTAGTAATTCTGCACCTCAGGGAGAGATTTGCTTCAGTTCAGGGGCAGGTCTGCGTGCTGCTAGCTCAGTGACAGTTCAGAAGGCCACGCAGTGGAAGTTCAGGCAGTTTCCCCGCAGCGAGGAGCGTGGGCAGCCTGGAGCTGCAATCGCACAGGAGATTGATTTGCCCCAAGGGGTGCTCTGGCAGATGGGGATGGTGAACTCTGCTGTAGATACTTGCTATCTTTGCTCTGTTATTTCACACTGCAGGAACTTTCCTGAGCCTGCAGTCAGGTTTGGGACTAGGTACGTATCAATTTATTCACCTTCCTACACAGCAGGTGAGGCTAGAGGCTCGCTCACCTAATTCTGGCTGACTTGCTGCACTTTCAGCCTTCTAGCTCGGAAAAAGATGTTGACAGTGAGTGGGTGCTGCCTTCCAATGGTGAACTGTTGGCTTCTATGTGGTTTCCCTGAGCAGTTACTAAATCTGTCCTGAAGGGATGACTAACCGAAGCAGAGATAGAATTCATTCAGGAGTCAGCTTTGGTTAGCAATCCTGGAAGAAACAAAATAGATCTGAGCTTTTAAATGTGAGGAAGGAGTGTGGAAATCAAAGGAAGGGAGACTGCGGGCATTTCTAGTAACTGGGAAAGCCTGGAGCTCTTTCATATTCTCAGTAACGTTACCAGGATATTGTGGAGCCCCAGCATGAAGGGAAGGTTGTACTCGCAGTGCAGCAGCAGCACTGCAGCCGTACCAAGGGAGTGTTCATGTGCACTCCATTCATGCTGGGAGCAGTGCACCTGCTGCACAAATATTAATTGCATATAACTAACAAAACCAACACTGACAAGTAGCCATGAGCTGGGACTGATGTTTTGCCAGGTTTTTCTCCCCCGTGGGGGGAAAAGTCAACTTCCCACAAAGCCCGTAGCACCAGCAGTTTTTTTCTCCTCCTCCCATAATAATTATCAGTACTAAGGTACAGGTGTTGCTGTGCCAGTGTCCTTTATGCCCAGCTACTCTTCCCTACAGCCTCATTTTGTCCCATTTCCTCTTGTCCACAGGCCAAAAGTGTCTGAGCATGTGCTTTAGATAAATGCTTTGAGTGTTGGCTGACAGCCCTGACTTTTGAGAGTTGACAATTTTTCATTGCATTAATCACTCTGGCAAAATTTTAAAGAGTCAAACCAGGAAACGCCCATTTTGAGACTGAAAGTGACTTAATTGCCCTTTAATTTAAGAGTCCAGGAAGACAGCCAACTTGTTTAAAAACTTTAAAACAATTCAATTCCATCTTCGAAGCACAGTCTGTTTTGCTCCCCTCTAGGTTGTCACTATTCAAATCAATACAGCACTGGAAACAGAGAGAGCCCAGAATCCCTGAATCCCATCCAGAGTGGTCACAGCAGCAGAACAGCTTCTTGCAGACCTGCCTGTGCACGAGCAACCCATGGCTGAGCTGTAGGGTGGCCTTTCCTTAGCCCCGAGAGGCTCACAGGCTCTGGACCATCACTCGTTGACCGTAGAGGGAATGATCTTGGAACAAAGTCGCAGGGCAGTTTTCCCTGTCTGCTGTTCTCACCAGATTCAGGGTCTGGCTGTGAACATGCATTGCTGGTGCTGTGCTTCCCTGCATGTCTGACCTGTGTTTTTCATTTCCTGAAATTGTGTGACCTGTCTAGGCGTATTTGGTTAACTTAATTCCACAGCTTCAAGGCTATTCATTTAGCTATCTCAAAGGGATAGAACAAAAGCCTTGAGTTTATGTGTTTCCTACAACTAAGTTAATAGCTGTGGTTTGGATAAAGGCTGAAGTGAACCCATGAATATATGCAGACCTTGGGGCTTTCTTACTGCCAGGACAAAGTGTTTTAGCATAATTTTGTAAAGAAAAATTTGAATTACAGCACTGTTGCTCTTCACTGGTCTCCCTACATAGTTCAGCAAATACAGGATTTACAAGTAACACTGATTTAACAGGTACATAAGCAGTCAGCTCTGATTTTTCACTCTCTCCGCTGAGATCAGCAGGGCTGTAGAAGCCTATGAGCAGGAGAGATCCCAGAAACGCTGCCAGCGAGGAGTCTTTCCTTCCTACAGATCAAGCCCTTCAAAATCTCCCAGTTTTCCAATAACCAGCTGAGTGCACAGACCATGCTCAGGGTGGTCACAGATCTGAAAGTTGGCAAAGGAAAAGAAGTTTTAAACAAAAGTAATGAAATTTACTTTGTCTCTTTGAGCGGAGTGGTCTAATTCTCAGCTGTGAGAAATAGCTTGATAAGGTCACTCCTTAATCACCATTCCCTGGAGGCTAAAGAGTCACTCTTTCATCAATCATTTTGTGAGTGTGGAGAGCAGGTTTTCTAGAAATAACCTGATAAAGTGTTTAATTGATTTACCCACTGTACCAAATGAAAACACAGTCACTCTCAGGAAAACTGATTAGGGATTAGCAAAAGAACATGAATTTCCTACTTGCCTTAGAAATAGTAAGTCAGACCAGTCCTGGCAACCCATCACTGCACAGAAGTGTCTTGCTAATGCGAACGTGGGCTGTGATCACCCACTCCTTTGGTGCTGGGCACCTTCCTGCACCCAGTTCTTCCCTGCTCTGCAGAACTCAAGCTCTGCTAGATCTGCTTGCACAGCAGTGGGAGGATTTTCCTAGTGCAGTTACTCATAGCCATACAGATCCTAATGTCTTCACAGAGAGCAGGAGGCTAAAAAAAGAAAACGTCTTTCGTGGCTTTCCCAAACCCAAGCTTGGAGCTCTCACACTGAGAGCTGCCCTTTGCAGCACAGTGGAGGGGCTCACGGGAGGTCCTGCCTTGCTTTTAACCCCCAAGTTAGGGGAGCTTTTGCCTTGGAAAGATTAGCAGCATGTGGATTTTTATTTTTTAAAATGGAAAAACTCTCAGAGGAATAAAGATTAAACTATTATTAACCCCTCCTATCACATCTAGCAAAGGAATGCACTTGACGCAGAGAGAGCAGCAGTATATCTTCCCCTCTCTGGCCAGCCCCCTGCAGACAAACAGCCTACAGACACCCCCCTCGTTTCAGAGCGTCAGAGAGGCCACTTAGAGCATCAGGAGCTAGCTCAGCTTTTTATGCTGCCTTCAGGATAAAGAAGGATAAAGCCTCAGCAGCATCAGAGCACAAACTACACCCCCTGAAACAGAGAGCCAGCTTCCAAAGAGCAGCCACCCCCTTGAAGTAGCCAGACACACTGGTGGGATGTTTCCTCCGTGGAAAGAAAATTGGCACTGGGCTTGCTCAGCTTGGCTAGGGATGCTGCTCCTTGTGTGCTCAGCCTCTGCCTGGGGGCTTAAAACCCTCTGCAGGTGCAAAGGTATTTCCTTAAGCAGCCTGGTGCTGTGCAGTGCTATTCTTGGGGCTCTTCTAAACCTCCCAAGGGGCTACTGAACTTTTCAAAGCCTACAGGCAGTGTTGGCCAGAGGCAGCCTGTGATAATGTAGCTTAATTAGCAATAGCTCTGCTGACGATCTCAGTCCCTATCATGGGCAGTTTGCTGGCTGGGCACTGGAAGCTGGTCTGAGCTTTGCCTTTGCAGCAAGTAAAGTGGTGGAGGCTGGATGTGATTAGGGCCACTAAAGCTGAGGGGATGTTCTCTGTGCCAGGAGATGGGATTTAAACACAGCTGTGGTATTCAAGCAGCTGCTGGCCTGCACAAGCTAGCCTGAATTTGTCTGGGTGGGCTTCAGCCCCCCTGGCTTTAATGTTTGGAGCTAATGAAAGCAGCAGGGATGAATGGGGGATGAACGCACCTGTGAGTCTGATGGACCAGCTCCTCTCGGGTCTCCAGAGCTGCAACGGGCTATATCCCCTCCTCATCCCAGGCACTGATCCACTGCCCTTGCTAACAACCACAGCTGCAAGCAAAACAGCTGGAAAGCTGACAGGGAAGGTGCACACACATCCTCCAGCCTTCTGCTGGCAGAGGTGTGCCTAAAACATCATTTAACCAAGTCAAGCAACGAACACTTGCTACTTGAACTATATTTTCTTTTAAATTAAGTCTTTTCTACTTTTAGTCCAAAACATGACCCACGAGCCAGGGGTTAAAATTAGTTTCTTAAAACAAGAGTGGCTATTAGGGGGAATAACAGCCAGCTGCTGCTCCTTGGCTCCCAGCACTGGGTTTGCTCATGCTGGTGGCTCAGCTCTCGCGTCCCTTGGTATTGCTGATCACAGTGTGTGTGTTCCTGCAAATTTCTGCTCCTCCCCACGGGCTTCCCAGATTTCATGGATGTGTAACAAATGGAATGGAGGACAGAACCATGCTTGGATGGGGCAAGCTCTTTGCTTTGGGAATCATCCTGCATTTTTAATGTTAATTGCAATCCTTTCAACTCTAAAAGCTGCTTTGCACTTCCCTCCCTCCCAGCCACGATGCCTGGCTCCCTGTGCTGCTCTTCCCAGTGCCCCCTGGCTCCGACCCATTCCCTCGCACCCCGGGGACGCCCCATTCGTTGGACATCCAGGGAGATGGGTTATCCAAAATGCTCCAGCTAGGATGACACCAGTGGTCCAGGCACAAGGACTAGCTGTCACCCACCATGTGGGGCAGGGATGAGGTGGGGGCTGTCAGGGTGGGAGCCCCAGTGTGCTCTGAGACGGTGCTGGAGCTGGCTCATGGGGACCTGTAATCTCACCGGGAGCAGCCTGGCTGCTCCTGCTCCCCGGGGGCTGCTTGCACCGACCCACTGACCCGGCCCCAGCTCAGCCGATGTGCTGCATGAGCACAGGCGTGCCGAGCTGCCACGAAACAGAAAGCCAGCCTCCAAA